GATTTCTGAAATACTGCTTCTTTCATTGAGAGAAAGAAGCTAGGGCTAAATCCTGGAAAATATGAAGATAAGTAAGATTAATATGTCTAGATGGTACAAAATAAAAGCATTACTTTTGTGTGACTAGATCTCATGGGCTCAGATTCTCAAAGCCAAAGGAAATTATTTAAAGAAGAATAATTAGACCACTATCATCTGTCAGGAAGTGTTCAAGTATCCTGTCTTGGGGTTTGGGACATGGATTTTGGTAGGTGCCATCTGCTCATGGCCCTTCCTGCCCTTTTCTTGACTGACTAGTTTTCTGTATCACTTTTTTCTACACAACTTTGGGTTTGGGGGGTGAACATATTCTAATTTTAAACACCTTACTTGGAATATGAGGATTTGATTCTGTTCATAGCTTTTTTTGTCAAGCTCTATTATAACTATAGAAGACCAACAAACTAAAATGAATGCTGACAGATCCTAGAAGTAACAGACCACATGTGCATATGCATCAATGCAGGACTCAAACAGCAAAGCTCAGTTTCAGAGCAGTAAAATAAAATTGTTTCTTGTATGCAACAAATAAGGACTTTTCTCAGTTACAAAATACTAAGGCAAGTAGAAAAATCTTCCTCATTTGTGTGAGGAGTAATATTAGTACAGGTCCCTGAAAACTGAGCAATGATATTGGGGAGGGGGGAAGATGAGTGAGTTGACTTGAAATAAGAGACCCTACCCTGAAAGTATTGCCTTTCTCTGGCTGCTATCTAGGGCACCTGGAAGCCTCCCTGCCTGTCAAAAGCAGGTTACTGTTACATGACTACACTGCAGTCTAAGGCAGTAAAAGCACAACTAATGCCACTGATCTCTTGAAGAGAATTTGAAAACTATGAAAACCAGACTATTAAATTATTGCAGTGTTAAGCTGAGGAAGAATGGTATTGCTGATTGTATTATGTAAAATGGCTTTCCACCAATTTCCCATGTTTCAGTTGACTGAAGAGGTGCTCACTTTAATATTAGATTATATACACATATTCTGTAAGTCTGAATAAAAAAATCTCCTAGTAAAATATTCAGGAGTAACAATCTAAATTAAAGCAATGAAATATTGCAGCAGAAATTAAATTAAATCATGGTTATTAGACTCATTGGTAGCCTCAGCTGCCACAGCCATGTTGAGTTAGAGATGGCCCTGAATCTGGAGGAAGGGGTTATGTCCTCCTCGTTAGCACTCTGCAGGTATGTTGGAGCAGATAGCCTCCTCATTCCTTTTTTAACTTCTAATGCATTACTATTAGAATGCAGGTGTCTATTTTTAGTCACTTGAAAATGCATCAAGAAACAGTGATCTGGCTGGCTAGCTTAATTATAGCTGCTGAATTTGGCTTGAAGTGTCCTATCACTTTTCTGATGTGCTAGCATAGGAAGCAGTGTGACAGCCAAACACAAACTGTCAAAACCAAACTTAAAGCAGGAAGGAGATTTCAGATGAAAGCATGAGTATTAGGTTTTTCAGGATAAAATCAGCCTTTGAGCCTAATGGGTTTCAGCCTGGTGACTCTTAGCAATACAGATTACTTGATTACCATACAGTTATTTACTTGCATCAGTAACCAAAGCAAACCATTATTATTGGAGCCACTCAGAATGCTTTGTGTACAAGTGAGGATTTTTTTGTTCCTTTTTTAATGACTGAACTAGAGCAGTGCATCTGACTCACTGAACTCTTTTGGAAAATTCTGTCAGGGAAAAAAATTAAAGACAATTTAGGGCATTTTGAAAATACTTTCTTTAGACAACTGCTCCCCTGGCTACTCATGCCTTCCCAGCATGGGTGAGCTGAACTGAGAAATTGAACCAGCTTTAAACCAGGAAAAAAGAAAAGGTTATTTGGTAGTCAGCAAGCAAGCTGGTTTCCTTCCTAGCTGCCCAAATGCTGATACTGTTGCTGTGCATGGGCTACTGCAAGGTGGGTGCCCAGGTGGGCAATGCTGTAGCTGAACACACAATCCAACCTTCATTGTAACTTCTTTATCCTTTGTCCAGCTTCAAAGGTCAATCCATGGGCAAGTCTGGCTGTTGCATTTTTTCCTGAGCAGGAACCTGAAGATGGTCAGAGAAATCTTGCAGGTTACTTGTATTAGAGAGCTACTCTATTCAGGATTCATGGCTGAAAGGTTGATGCAGTCATGAAAATTTTAATTTGTAGATGTCTACAACAATAGAGCCCACGAAGCCCAGTGCCTTTAGCACAGCATCAAGAGTGACTTGTTGCTGCAGTATTTAAGTGAAGCATTTTTTCTTCATGTTAGCACCTGATTTTTATTCCAGTCCTCTAAGCATCTCTTAGAAAACTGAGATCAGTTAGAAAAATTTGAAGTGTCAGTAAGGGACATAATCTAGGTTTCATCTAAGTTTTGCTGGTGCCACAAAGTTGCATGATTTTGGGATGATTATCTTGGCTAAGTGTTTTAGCAGATTCTAACTTGAGTATGTTAGGATTTCACTTATTGCTTTCTTTACCTGTTACAGCTGGCTGGGGTGGATATGGCATCTTTCCTATACACATAGTTGCAATGCCTTTAATCTATTAAATTCCTCTTACACTGTCAGTATTTGGTGTGGGGAGGATGTTTTTGTCCTTCATGATTCACTTTTTGCTGAAGAAAGAATTCCTGTGTATCTAATGGAGAATGCATGCTAAACAGTGCTATTCTCATATTTGTCCTTCTGTACAGAACAGTTTGTACACAGGGGTCTCCCTTGAATCTATCCAAACAGTAATGTAACTTGTGAGATTTGGCACATTTAAATCAAGTAGCATCTTCACTGTCTACAGTAGCAGGATCACTAAAGAATAGAGATGCAGACAGGCATTCATTGTATTATACAAATGAATAAGTACAGAACACGCTGCTACAGGTAGGTAAGTGGTTGATGTTCCAGTTGTCTAGAGGATTTCAGGCAGCTGAGTCTGTAGTCCCACCTGTGCAGATAACTTCATTATCACTCAGTCTCTGAACCAGCAATTGCAGTCTCAGAAGCTATTTATATAGTTTTTCTTCAGATAGACTCTTAAAAGCAAACAGCTACTTCTCTGCCAAAAAACAACTTGAATTTCTGGAATTTCCTAGTATCACATACAGTGAAGATCTTTGCTGTAGTATGTGCAAAGGTAGCAGAGCACAGCTGTCTCTAAGAGTGTTCTTGTAGAAAAGCCAAAGGGTGGGGAAGACAGGCTAGGGTACAACAGAGTGTTTCTTACCACTGCTTCAGCCCTCCAACCTTAATTACCTGTTTGTGTTGTGTGTGAGTCTCTGAAGAATCTCTAAACAGCTTTCAGGTGATTTTGAAGGTGGAGGTTGGTAAGAACAGGCCCTATTTCAGATTAAATTGCTTGCCTCCTTAAATGTTTGTATGATCAAACCTTAAACAGTTTATTATGTTAATACCTAAATGTGGCACATATGAGAAACTACCTTCTTGAGAAATGCATGCTACCTTCACAGCAACATTTCCAAGAAACTGTTTCAGAAGGTCGTAGCAAAAAAGTAGGTTACTCTACCAATGCTAGTGCCTCTGAGTCCCATTGTTCTCTGAGGAGTAAGATAGGGTGCTAGTTTCCCAGTAACTATGCCAGACAAACCAGAATTGCTATGGAAAGAAATGGTATCTTCCCTCCCATACTGTCCGGTTCCCTCCCATACTTTGCTTCTGCACTGCTCCTTGTATCTGTACCACATTGCAGCAGCTAATCTAGTCTGGAAATTAAGCTGAATCAAAACTAATTCAGATTTTCTCCTTTCCCTTCCACCAAAAGAAGCAGCTAGCTAACTAATTAAAAATCACTGTGCCAGCTAAACTTGAAGGAGTATGGACATGTGAATGAACAGAGGAAAGGCAGGACTTGCTGTCTTAGCTGCAGCTTCAGTTGTAGGTGTCAAGCTAAGATAATGATGAAGACCTAAAATGTGTTAAGATTTTTTTTTTGGTAGTGCTTTCAGAATGACTTTAATTGTAGGAAGAGACAATATCATTTAGAAAAAAAAACTTTATTTTTGCATACAGAGTTAAAAGAATCTGGAATGCAAGTTGAGCTTGACAGAAAGCAGAAACCAGCAGTTCTGTCATAACATTTTGGACACTGCTGCAAGTCGTCTTTTAAGTTTTTGAGAAACTTAAGAGTCACCTTGTACCAGAAAGCAAAATTCCTGATACAGTAATAAGTGTGAAATTATAATTCTAATTCTCATTAGGCACAGAACTGAAGCTTCCCTGAGAAGATATACATTACAAACTAGTGTATAAACTTTGTATCACATCATCAGGGAGAATTTTAAGTGTAGAAAGGCAAGAGTGTGTTTCAATTTTTTGTAGCAAAAGTCCTTATACTTCAAGCTGAAGATGAAGTTTCCAAGAGAATTAAAAATCACGTATTACAGAACTGCAGTAATCAAATTTACATTGAGTGATGACAATTGGCTTTGGTATGTTCCCTTTTGTTTAGTTTTCAAACAAATTCCAATGTGAATTTCCTGAGACCTTTCAGTATCTCAACATGAATTTTGTGCAGTCCAGCTGCTGCTTTCCCCTTTTTCTCTCCATCTTTCCCTTCCAGTTAGTATTAAAGTCATGGAAAATAGCCATGCATGGTATGCATTTTCTAGGCCTTCGAACAAATAGTTTAGCTGAAAAGTCCATTAACTACAATTTTAGATAACAATAAATATTCCAAATAGTTGAACTTCAAAAAACTGTCTTAACCTAATTCATATTTTCTACCCAAAGTTCCAAACCTCAACATGCAATGTGAGACATCCTTGTCTTCACTTGAGACACAGTGGAGACATTTGTTGTCTCCTTGTCCATGGACGACCTCCCTGTGAGACAGGCCCTCATCACCACCATACCAATGCAATGAGAAAGCATGTCAGCATCACCACCACCATACATGTTAAAGTATATAGCTGTATCTTATTTGTACCTGTTTCATAAAATGAAAATGCAGTATTTCAGTTATTTTGCTGATGCAAAGCTTTGTGTCGCAAATACTCTTCCAAGCATTTCACAGCAAAAGGGTCAACATCAGTATTGAACTTATTAGCAAAGTAGTGGTGGTTTTGCAGCATCCAGTTCAAGTCTCCTACTCCAAACACACAGACAGAGTGAACGTGAATCCCACTGCATGGTGGGTAGGGCGCACCTTTAGACACATCACCTTCGAAGTACTGCCACTTCACAAACCTGGCCAGTGCATTCATGTCAGAAACATCATACTTATTACTGGAAGAAACTGCACCTGGGACTTCAGGGATACTCTGAATTGTTGCCCACAAGTACTCATCAGGGCTGTAAGTGTCTTTTGGCCACTCAATAAATGAAAGGATTTTGCTGTTTTCTAATAGTGTTCTACAAATCTTCTGCTAATGACAAAATAGGCACTACCAGAAACAATTGGAGTACTGAGAAGTGGTCATTGTTTGTCTCTGCCTGTGTTCTTTGCTTTACCATCAATAATCTCATGGTGCTTTTTCCACCTTACTTCTTTAGAGAGGCATTTTTTCTGTTTCCAAGCTGTTTTCACCTTTAAGGGCTTTCAACCTCTCTGATATTTCCTGGTTGGTCTTAATAGGAAAGTCCATGCCACAGAGGTTTATTAGGTATTTCCACTTTGTACTTCTTCTGTAGAGATCTTTCATGCAGTTAATGTCTGCCTGCTCCATGAAGCATATACAACACACTCTAACTGGCTGGAAATAAAGACATTATCAGAACATGAAACTATTCCCTTCACAGCAGCAAAAAAGGATTCTGGAGACTTTTTGTCAACATGAATGCAGTAAAAATTCTGAGGAACATAGATTGATCTTAGTCTATCAAGCATCTCAATTTTGTGATAAACCACAATTGAGTAAGCAGTTGGAAGTTCTGCTGCTTCATTGCTGAGGTTCCATGATATATTTCCTAGTCTTGGTAAAGGAGACAGTCTGTCATGTTAATATAGTCATTTGTTGTTAGTTTGGGGTGTTTCTTAAATGACACCAATAATGCCTCAAGCTTTACCTTCTGGATTTCTTCTATATCACCCTCCAATATCTTTGTGCAGCTAATACTGCTAATAGGATTGTCATTAGTCGGTTCCAGATGTCTCCAATTTAAGTATGGTTTCTGATTAACTTTCAAAACTGAAATGATTACTAGAATAAGAGTTAGCCCCAAGAAAAGCCTGAAGAGTGAGTTGTGGCAAAACTGTAGTTTCCTTTTCAGCATTTCAAATATTCGGTACCTTCACAGGACTAAAAAAATTGCCCTCCGCTCTGCTCATACCAGCTTCAACAGTTTCAGAAAAATCAGTTTGTGTTTCTTAGGAGGTTGGTGCATTTGTCAGGGAGATGGAAGGAAAAATTCTAAAAGAAAATGAAATATGAATGACAGGCAACTACTAAAAGGTTTCCTTAAAAAATTACTGGCTAAAAGTTCCATTATTACTTATTGATTGTAAAAAGGTGAATAGTTCAGACAAAAGAATTTTCTTGAAGTGTAAAGAATAATTAATAAAATTTTATTGTTTGTTTGTTTTTAAGGCTGGGAGAAACAGACAACTTTCATGAGCCACTATTTCCTAGCTTCTATCAGCTGTAGTACTAGGGCTACAAACCACAGTGCGAAGACTGAGAGCTGGTTCAACTGCATCTGACAAAATTAAAGACGGGGAGGGGAGAAGGAAAGAAGAGGGAAGGAAGGAAAAAAGGGAAGAAAGAAGGAAAGGGAAGAAGAAGAAAGGCACAGCAGCTTGTTTTCCCTTCCTTTCAGTGTGGCAGTTGCATGGTGATCACCTCTGTCAGCTTCCTGTGGCTGGGGCTGCTACATGGAGGACACAAAGGACGTCCCAGGAAGGGCGATGCTTGCAGCCCGGCCCCAGCCCTGCCCACAGCACTCGCCTGCAGGGTAGCCCC